GCGGACAAGTTGCTGCGGACCCCCCCACCCACACACACACAGAAAAGCCCGTGACAATATGCGTTTTGTACTGCTGTTACACAGCACAAAGCGCATAAAATTGGAGCCCATGAAATGGCGAAAAAAGGATTTTGACAGTTTCCGTATAGTTCACATCAAACCTTTCATCTACGAGAATTCTTAGCACAGCATCCGGCTGTATACTATCGAATAGTCTTTCTTGTAATTGAGGAATAAGGAATTAAAGAGGGAGTTGATACTTTGCTGCATGTTCCAGTAGTTAGTTTAGAGCGAAAATGCGGTTCATCGTGCTTCATTGTTTTGGAATCCACAGTGCGAAAAGCCATATGAGCAGCAGAGTGTGGGATAGGGATAAGACCAACTAACAGTAATTCATCATTAAGCTAGGAATTCTAATTCTGGCATAATTTATGTGGCAGTTCTAAGTATATATAGACAGAAAATCGATGGGACACTTTTTTCAGCAGTACACGAAATCATAGGTGTTATTAATTACAAAGTAGGACCGTGCGTATCGTCACTGTTAATGATATGCAACCACACTTCGCGCACAGCTTTGTCGGATTTTCTCGGACTCCAGCTTCTGAAAAACATGGCATGAAAGAGTTAACAAAAAGAATGAAAAAAATTGGCCAACGCACGGGCTGCCCGTGCCAAGATGCGTTTTTTGCATGGTTCCCCGCAGTTTTTGTTGCTACCGGTATCGGTTTATTCGGCAGATGCTTCTAGTTAAACAAATTAAGACTGGTCACCAGAACTGTCAGAAAACATCCTTTTGAAATTTCAACTTTCTAGCTTCCCTGGCACGTGAGTTAGCAGTTTACTGGAACAAAATTTTCAAGGGCCCGTGCATGTTTACTAAGCACCTGAGAGCTAAGTTCGAGCTGAATGAAACTTAGGTGGACGGGGTATATCCTCTTAAAATTGCATTCCTTTATTTCCTCAGGTACTTGAGTTATCAATTTGCATGAAAAAAATTTTGGCGGGCTCGTGTGTGGGTACCACGCTTACCCGGGGGCTGGGTTTGAGCCCAGTAATACCCACCTGGGCGGGAAACATTCCCATAAAATTTCAGCTTTCTAGCATCTCAGATCCCCGAGTTATGAGCTTACCCGAAAAAAATTTTGGGGGCCCCGTACGCGGGTACCACGCTTACCCGGGGGCTGGATTTGAGCGCATTA